TTCGAATTCACACAATTCGAAATCGGAATTTCTGATTTGAAAAATCTCGTTATCGAATTCGACCCGAATTCGATCAATTTCAAATCGAAATTTCGATTTTCATTCCAAATTACCGATTTCGAATTTCCGAATTCATTCAAATTCGGTTGATGAATCAGAATTTTTCGATTTTGCACACCCCTAATTCCGTTGGCAGTGCATGGCCAATGTTGGGAAGACGTGTGAGGTTGTTTGTTCGCTGTAGGAAGCACCGTTCACACGGACGAGCATTGTGGATGAGACCTTCGATCTTAAATATGGCGTGGCTAGTAATACCATTTGGTATGATTACATGAACCTGCCGCAATTGGGACAAGGACTTAGTAATAGGTATGGCAAAAAGCGCAAAGTGGCCTCCATAAACATCGATGAAAGCGTGTTAATAGGTAGGAATCCTACTTTAATGGATGACGGAACTGCAGCCAAACATGATGTCCTCATTGATTGGGCCTCTTCATTGTTCTAGATCGGAAGCTTAGCGACCAACATAAGCCATATGTGTTCAGTGAGGTCAAGGGAACTCACGGATCTAAAGCGGATCTTACACGTTTGTTCCGATATGCTCAGTAGATTTCGCATGTTGAAACAGGAGAAGATTGTTGTGAGGAGTTCTAATCATGGGAGTCGGATATCCATAGACAGAGACGTTGCATTACGATTGGATATTGACTCAACCTATTCACTCGTACAACTTAACTAGTGGGAATTTCCGTGCTACGCACGGTGCTGATATTATTGAAAAAAATAAAAATAAAATGATGAACAAATACATTTGTCCTATATTTCAGGGCACTTTCACTATAAATAAAATGTAATAAGCCCTATATTTGTACTTATTCGTTTGAGAGTACATGACATTAGGCTTTAGGCTTTCCGTTTAATTAGGAAAAGATAATATAGTAAATTGATTAGAACAGGCATTATGCATGCCAAAAACAAATGTACCGTAAGATGCTTTAGATCCCATTTTGGGCCTACGGTGTTTTTACTAAAGAAGGACAAAGCCAATCTAATGTGTTTGGTGAACAACATTTATTGAATTTATTAGGAGTAGAGTTTTTAGCCAATGAAACATTTATAGAATAAACTCAAGATTAGTGTTTTTAGAGCAATTTTTGTGTTGCAATAAATAAAAAAATTTATAAATTATCAAATAAAAAAATACTCATATAAGTGTACACCCAAACAATATGATATATTAATAAATACTGTGATGAAATTTGTATTAATTAAATACTTTTTAATAAAGTACAACAACTTTAAACGGTCCTTAGCATGCAAGTAGTTGTTAGGTGTTTGGCCTACCTACCGGGCTTCCGCATGCACACTCTTCCAGCACATGATTCCATTTCAGTTTCCACTATTTGGTCCCTATTCTTTTTTTCGTTATTTATATGTGCAGCCTTTTTGAGAAGCAGCACAAGGTCCTTTGAACTTCCGCTTCAGGTTTAAATCTAATCCACTTAGCTTGAGATGACGGTGCTGAATATATTGTGCTCATTCATTTTTCAAATGGTACTAATTGGTTATGCTAATTTGTTGAAGATCCTTGTTGGCTGAAATCATTCAGCTGCAAAACTTGATAGACTTTTGTGAATTATTGATCGTAACATCAAAAGCTGTTAATGGCCTTTCAGGTCAGTTTCACACATAAATGTTCTTCTATGAGTGGCATGGAAAACTCCAGCTTTACTTCCCTCTCAGGTTGCTTGGTTTTATAAAATGCATTTTCATGATGTCAATCATTCAGTAGGTTTTGAAAGGAATTAAGGTTTTGCGTGGGAATTATTACGGGTCTTGCTGTTGCTTTTCCAAAAAATTTTACTTTGTATCACTTGTTTGGCAAAAAAAAGTTATGCATTCATTTAGTTAAAAAGCTGTCTTTCTCTGACAGTATTTAAGTTAATGAACCTATCGGTGTTCATCTGCTTGTCTAATCATACTCTGATTCCGAACTTCAACATGATCAAGAGTAGTCACGATTAATATTGTGAAAACTTTGGAATTACCTCCTGTTATACTCGAAAGCAATTTTAGACTCACTAACATTGGAGCATTTTTTGTCCTATCTGCACTCATCGTATCTACACAAAGGAAATCCTCTCAATTTGGAAAACCTGAGTCACGAACAGATAGCGAACAATTCTGCTGCGCAAATGGTGAACAATTTTTTTCTAAACCACAATTATTGGCAAAGCCTTAAAATCAAAATTCTACCTTTGTTACAGAATTAAAGGAGAAAATCTTGTTTGCATTAAGGACACCTTTCCAAAGAGCCAAAAAGGCATGAAATATTGAGCACAAAAAAGAAAGAATGAAACAAAAACCAAAACATAGCCTAACAAACAGTAAAGCGCCGAAATATGAGTCAGGATTATTTCCTTTATGCAGTTAGTTTCCTGATCTCTAGTATTCAATATAATTATGACCCTTGGATTTTATTTTCATGTATTTATTGTTAGGTTTTTGGCATCACTGCTGAACATAATCCAAGTTTAGAAGGACACGTTTTTTCTAATCCAGTGGATGCAAGTGACTACATGGTGATGTTGTGGTATAAGAATGGGTCTTTGACACGTGAAGGTACTAAGATAATATTGAACTCAGTGGTGCACATTTCAGATATTTAATATCATGATGATAACTTTTGCAGATATTCGAAATCGTTGTGCTGAGAAATCTTGGGAAGTTTTCAATAAACTTCTGCAGCAAACACCACCCAGAAAATAAAGAAAGTAAAACATGACAAAAAGAAAGTAAAATGTGAAGGTTGACAAAAACATGAAGGAGAAAAAATAAAGAAAGTAAAAGACCAAATCACCTTAAAAGAAAAGCAAAACATGACAAAAAGGAGGGGCAGAGGGGGGACCGACTCGGAAAATTAAACTGGCAAGAATATACTTCCAGTTCTCTGCAAGAAGATTGATTTCTGTTGAAGTCTCTGCACGTAATTTCTTCCATAACTGCTAAAAAAAAAAAAGCAAAATCAATAGAGAACCAAAAGCAAAGAAGAAAGTAAGAAAGAGTGTGAGGGAATTCACTTGATCAGTAAAAAGGTTAAAAAAATTATAGACATATTATAGTATTGGAAATAATAAAAAATAATAAAAAATATTACAATATTGGGAATAATATTTGAAATGCCAAAATTACAATGAAAATGCCAATATTTAAAGAATACATAGTACCGAAATTTTTAATTTGATGTGAACGACGTTTTAATCAGTGTAGCCTGAATTTTGTCCTTCGAATTTGATTTGAAATTTCTCTTTCGTCAGCGCAAAATTGTTGAAGCTTTTCCAACTGGTGTGTGGAATCCTTGCGGTGTACGTTTCGTTTTTTAAGCAAATGTTTCCTCATTTGCAATCTTGCGAGTTTGAAATTTAGTTATTGTTGAAATGCTTGTAGGCGGGCATATTCCATGATGAAACTAAGTTAAAAACTAAAATTGACACCATAAGAAAGATGAAAGAGATAATAGGTTCTTGTTTTGGTTAACCAAAAAATACGAATGAGCATGCAAGAAAATTGAATGAGAATTCTATGTTTGAAGGAGTTTTAATTGGGGTGCAATTCTTAAATTGCATTGGACTCTTAATTGGAGTGGGAAACGTGGAAGGAAATGTGGACGGAAACGTGGGATGATGATTAGAGGATTTGTACGAGTGGTTGTAGGTTAAATTAAGAGATAGTGGGAATATTTTAAATTTCAATTTGATAAACGTGGGAAGATGATGAGAGGATTTGTAGGAGTGGTTATAGGATGAGTTAAGTGATAGTGGGAATATTTTAAATTTCAATTTGATTGATAATAAGGTTGGTTACCCACTACTTTTTATGTATTAAAATAAATATAAAATTCTAGAAAAAAGAATGAGAAGTTTAGAAGCTATTGAGAGGGTTTCTACTAAAAACCCCTTCCTAAATACATATAGATATAGATTTTCTAATACAGTTGAAGAAACATGGATTAGAATGCACAAAGGATATTTAATTGAATAACTAATTTATCACATGATAACTATCCCCTGTTACATGGACAAGCGCAGCAGAACTTAAAGAAATATATGATTGGGCCTAGGGGTGGAGCTGAGTCGAGGAGCTCGACTCGAGCTCGATATGTACTCGGTCAGAAGCTCGAGCTCGAGCTCGCTTAATCGAGTTCGATCTTGATCTCGAGCTACTCGATAGAGCTATCGAGTCTAGTTCGAGCCCATAAATTTGATACTCGAAAGCTCGACGAGTTCTATCGAGTATCGCTTAAAATATTTTTAAAATTATATATTAAATTACTAATATAAGTAAATAAATTCTGAGGAATAATTATGGGTGAAGTGATAATTATACTAAAAAGAATAGTCAACATTCAACAAGTTCCCACTTCTCGCCCAGAGTCCCCAGACTTCCCATCAAGCCTTTCTAGCCTTTCTAGCCTTTCAGTCAGTTCCCACTTCCCAAGTTCCCATTTCCCATCGAGCCTTTCTTACTCTCTCTGTTGCTAGCTCGTTGAAGCTTCCCAGAGCAACTATTGATTTGCTTATCCATCACCGGTAGCTTTTGAATCCGCCTATAAGTTCAGAATCTCCTTATCTCCTTTTCAAATTTATGTATTAAGCATGCGGGTAAGAACTTGGTTGTATTATGTATTAAGTATTTAAGCATACTGGTATGGAAAACGTGAGGAAAATTTGTATTTTAAGCTTTTTGCTGAAATTGTTGGTTACTGTATTTAGATTTGGTCACCACAACCCGTGCATCTGATATGAAAGCCTCCTCGTCTTCTCCGACCTTTTATTTTTTCTTCTCCTTCTCTTGAATCTCTGCCACCCACTGGCTGTTTAGTGAAGAGTCTTCAAAGAGAGAATTTGGGTTAAAGATTGATTGTTATTGCTGTCTTTCTGTGCAATTTCTCATAAATTGGATACGAGCAAGGTTTTTTTTTTTTTTTTTTGCTAGAGGAATCACTTGTTTTCTCTTGAGCCTGTTGGCAAAGGTCTGAATGCTGCCAAAACCACAGATATCTTGCACATAAGGAACCCAACCATCCCAAAAATAGGGTCGTTTGGTGTCAACACCCCGGCAGCATCTCCTGAGATGTATCTTGCAGCAATAACAGCTAATGCAAAAGCCAAAACCAAGCTTGTTAGTGAACCTCTAGATTTTCCCAGTATTTGACCAAAGTTTTCCATCCTGTTTGTTGGAACAATTTCTGCAGCCGGTAATCCATCAATCGACCTTTGCAATAACAGTAGATATAAGAACCCTCCAATCCCACCTGTTAAGAATGCTAATGCAGCATTTTCTCCAAGTGAGAATGAGGCAATTGAGGAACCAGTAAGGATAAGCATTGCATCATAAAGCAACAACGAAAATTTCAAGTCTGCATATTCCTTCATGCTTTCTTCACTAGATAAACTCTGGCCAGGGTCTAAGTTCTGCCATGGAAAAGTCATTAGCTTCACCAAGTAGTATATCCTCAAGGCCAAAGTCATATTGGAAACCCCTAAACTGCACAGGATTCTTGTCAGTTTCAGTTGACGGGGTTTGATGCTGACAAATAATAGTTAAGCTCATTTGTCCTAATCTCCACTGACCTGTCATTGGCAACAAGAGGATTATGGAGATTGCAAGTGTCTAACATAGCCAAGGCACGTCAACAGCATGATACCCAGCAAAAGCTAAGAAACAACCATATTGATTAATGAGCATTGCTGATTTCATATTGTTCATGTTTCTAAGAATGGAACTCCTAAAGTTTTTCTTCAGTACGTGTCATCTGACCTCCATGTTAGCATATCTAGAACAATATTTGAACTTTCTATATTTGGTTTAGTTGGTCCTAGCTAACAAAAGTATAAAGTTAGGGATGAAGCAACACAAGTATAAGGGCACGTATGTATTGATTTGCCAAGTATGATAAAAAGTAGGGATGAAGCAACACAAGTATGAAATTTCTTTTCCCTTTAGCGTAAGTCAAAAGATATTTGAGACAGTTGAAAGTTGTTTTTATTTTAAGCCTTTGAAAAAAATGTAGGAAGAGTAGATCATAGCATTTGATTACTGTGATTAATACAGATTTATACATTTGTTGATGATCAAAGTGTGATTAATGAAATGTGGCAGGTTTAATCTTTTCATTACTGAAAAGAATTATCAGCAAAACCTCAAAAATGTATTCTTTATTTAATTCATATGCCTAAAACTTCTCTAAATAATTATCAGAGCAAGGTTTTTTTTTTTAAATAGTTTTGTTTATACCCTAAAAGTCTCTAAAATTCATGGTGAAAGCCTCCGTTAATGGATGTGTCTTTCTTTAGCTTGAAAATTTCCTTGCCCTGATTTGAAAATTTGTTATCTTTCTTTAGCTTGGAGCCTTGGACTGCATGTGTTTATGGATTGATGTCAACCCAAGACAAGGGCAGTCAACCCGAGATTTCTTGTATCCCACTGGTTTCCAATGCTGATTCATGTACTCCATTGATATTGGACAACCCAATTTATGTCTCCAATGAGTCAACGATGAATCCAGGAAACGTGATGACTAGTCCAATTACACAAAGTACTCCTTTGGGTAATATACAAGAAGGACAAGAAGTTGTGGTTGCTGACGATAACAATGAAGAAGGAGAAAATGATAAATTAGATGAAAATGATGAATTCCATATTCCAAAACGGAATAAAACTTCTGAAGCTTGGGAGGACTTCAACGAATTTGAAGAAAATGGCAATTACTATGCCATTTGCCGTTACTGCAATAAAAAGCTATCGAGGGATAAATCAAAGCAAACAACTAGCTTGTGGCGGCACCGAAACTCATGTCCATCTAGAAAAGCAAGTTTAAGACAAGCTGCACAACAAACGAAACTGAACTTTCAGCCGGCTGATGATGCATTTCCTACTATACCATCTTTGCATACTGGAAAATTTGACATGGAGAAAATGAGAGAAGCCGCTGCATATTGGATTGTGATGCACGAACATCCCTTCACCATTCTTGAAGAAGAAGGTTTGAATATTTTCCTAAAGCGTGGCATGCCCGAGTGGCAAAAGATCACTAGAGGAGTAGCAAAAAGTGATTGTGTGGCAGTCTATGAACTTGAGAAAAGAAGCTGAAGAACAAGTTGAGAAATGTGAAAAAGGTGAGCCTCACAACCGATCTTTGGAAATCCAAAAATCAAAAGATCGAATATATGGTTATTACTGGCCATTGGATTGACTTGAATTGGAAGCTACAAAAGAGAGTGCTCAACTTTGTTCACATGCCACCTCCTAGACGAGGGGTTGAGATTGCTGCTTCACTCTTCAAATGTGTGAAGGATTGGGGTATTGAGCAAAAAATACACACAATTTCAGTTGACAATGCTTCGGCCAATGATGTGGCTATTAGAGTTTTGCGGGATGATTTTAGTAGATCGAAGAAGCTATTAGGTGGCGGCAAGTTGTTTCATGTTCGATGTTGTGCGCATATTTTGAATCTTATTGTTCAAGTCGGCCTTTCTGAGATTGCGGACATTGTAAACAAAATTAGAGACAGCGTCGATTTTGTCAATCGCTCGAAGACCAGATTATTGTTGTTCGCTGAGATTGCACAACAACGTCAAATACCCGGGAGGAAGTTGCTTTATGATTGTCGAACAAGATGGAATGTCACCTTCGAAATGCTAAGCTGTGCTATGAAGTTCAAAGATGTTTTTCCTCGTCTTCAAGATAGAGATCCACTATATGATTCCTGTCCAGCTTATGATTATTGGGAAAAAGTAGAAAAAGTGTGCTCTGTGTTAGAGAAATTTTGGGCAGCCACGCATGTAATATCCGGGAGTGAATATCCTACGAGCAATTTGTTCCTTCAAGAGATTGTGAAAATTAAGAAAGTCTTAGATTCTCGAGCGAATGATGAAATTGACTTCATCCGAGCTATGATTAGAAAGATGAAGGCCAAGTTCGACAAATATTGGGGCGAATGCAATTTGTTAATGGCTATTGCTGCCATTTTAGATCCAAGGCAGAAAATGAGAGTTGTTGAGTTCGCCTTCCCTCAAATGTTTCCATCTTTTGAGGCACAAGAAAATATTTGCAGCGTGAAGAAAGCTTTATTTGAGCTTTATGATGAGTATGAAGATTTGAATGCAACTGGAAATGAAAATGCAGTCCACTCATGTGCTTCAAAAGGGCCACAAAAAAATGCAACATCTTCTTTTAGGTGGGTTGACTTTGATGAGTACTGTGATGAAATGGAGACTACCAAGCCACAGAAATCTGAATTGGTGGATTATTTAGAAAAGGCTCGCCTAAAGACTGGTTCCAACCCAAATGCCTATGATTGTTTGGAGTAGTGGAAAAGCAATAGGGTTGCGTATCCAATATTGTCCGAAATGGCGGCTGACATCTTGGCTATTCTTGTAACTACAGTGGCATCTGAGGCCACATTTAGTGCCGGAACTCGAGTTATTGATAGCTATCATGCTTCCCTTCATCCAGATACGGTTCAAGTGTTGTTGTGTGCAGGGGACTGGTGTAGAAAGCTTCACGGGATCTCAAAGAAAGTGAAAGTAAGTTTTATTGTTTTATCATTCAACTTTTGTGCCCAAGTTCAACAAGTTATGACTTCTTTTCTTTCTAAATTATTTGCCTTGGGTGGTTTTTATTGTAAATGCAGCAAGCTAAAATAATCAAAGAAATTGAATTGCCCAAGATTTGAAGATCTATTGCAAAGGGCTCATTTTGAATCAGGTTTGGCATTGTGGTTATCTAGAGTTCTCGATAATTTTGTACCTTAATTTGATTCATTTTTTGTCTTTGGTGATATTTGATAGGACTTATATATTTTTGGTTGGCAATAGGTGTTAGAAACTTGGAATTTTGGAATCTGAACTCTATGCAGATAACATCTCAAATGACTTGTCTCAAATCTATACAACTATAGTGAATTTGGTGACTTTTTTACTCAAGCGAACTTGACAAACTGTGGTTGCCAGTTGTGTTTTGACTTTTTTGACTCAAATCTGTACAACTTTGGTGAATCTGGAGATTTTTTTTGACTGTTGACAAGCTGTGGCTGCCAAGTTGTGTTTTGACTTTTGACTTTGGACTCAAATCTGCATAGCTATAGTGAATCTGGCGATTTCTTTGACTCAAGTAAATGTTGTATAGCTACTACCAGGTTGTATTTGATTTTTGACTAAAATCTGTACATGAGTTGCTGTATAGAATCTTGGCAATGGATCTTAATAGAATGTTGTATACAGAACTTGATCTCAAATCGTACAGAGTTTAGTGTATTGTGACTAAATGCTATTAATATCAAGTTCTCTATTTCTTTTGCTTACATGGCTATTTTGGCTATTGAGAAACTGTCATTTTTTCTATCATATTAACTAGTTTGATATTGTTGCTTTTAGAGTGCTTGAATCACATGGTTGGCAACTTGGCATTTGCGTTGAAATGAAGCAAAATGCATGTTTTAATATGAATTGCTATATTGAAGGATAGCACAGTTTTTTGCGCTCAATTTTTGTTGAATTCTGGTCTAAGAAACAAATGTTTTCGAGCTCATTTTACGAGCTTAGTTCGAGTACTCGAGCTCGAATCTTATACGAGTTCGAGCTCGAGTTATCTTTAATTACATCGAGTCGAGTTCGAGTCTGAAGTTTGAGGCTTGTTCGAGCTCGAGCTCGAGCAGTACTCACAACCTTCGAGCTTGAGCTCGAGTATGGTACTACTCGAGCTCGACTCGACTCGACTTCACTCCTAATTGGGCCGTTATTGTCCAATAATGATTATTGATTGATCCTCAAATTCTCTTTTTATCATTTCTCAAATTCTCAAACTCTCAACTCTTATCATTTTAAAATGTAACATAATAGTTAATTAACCTGGTGTATTGATTTACACTACATGAAAAATGGTTTCAGTGACAAGATTCTCCATGACAACAAAAATCTTGTCACAATTGATACAGTTTCGATTGAAGGTCATCACTAATTACATCACTAATCACATCAATGACCGTAACAAGATTATCACTAATTACAAGATTGTTACGGCCATCGAAACAGTATCAACTATAGTGATTCTCCATGACCGTAATATGATATATTGATAAATAAGTTTACAATTGCTCTATCATGTAAATTATTATAAATTAAATTATTTTATTCAAATTGTTATTATATATTGACAGACAATAGGTAAACAAAATTTGGTTTCAACTTATTCAAGCTATTAAAATTAAGAAAGTCCATTTTGTATTTACGAAATAAACTTTTTTTTAAGCTATTAAGCATACACTTCATTGAATTTTTTTGCCTTTCTCATATACTTTATCCTATACTATAATATATAAGTATATATATTATTGTTTTGAATTGCAATATAAACCCTTGCATAGAACGGGTCAGAATGCTAGTTTAAATGTATTTGTGTATCTATATATTTGCTTTTTTTTTCAGACACAATAAATTTTATTTTATACCTATTTCTATTTTACACTAATAGAAAGGGGTGGATCTAGGGGAATAAATAAAAAATCCGAAAGAAGTGGATCCAAAAGGGTCAATAAAGAATCCGAATGAAATTGAACCGCTGCTAGACCAAACGAATGTCTTTGCATTCAATAATAAAATTTTCAAAAAATCTTAAATAAGAATACGAGCTAAGAGATTCCAACTCTTTACGGCCAATTACTGTCATAGTAGATGTAGTTGGTTGTGTCAATGTATTTGCTGCTTGCAGGAAAAGTACACGACCGGGCAGGAACGGTTGCAGACGTGTAACGGTTGCAAAGTAGAAGCAATCGTTCCTGAAAGTTATGTGCATTTGCATACGGCGTAACTCTATTTGCATATATAGTGTAACTTATTTTCAACAACATGTAACTTTAAAACAAAATTTTATAAATCCCACAAATATTGTTAAAAAATGAGGTACAAGTTGAAATTTAAATCTTACAATTTTTTTGTGGCCAAGTCTTGACCGTGAACTGCTAGGAACCGTTCTTGCCCCTCTTTCCCTTTTTACTATTATAGTCCATCTCTCTCCTCATTTAATGCTCTCCATGTCAGTATTGTTTCCTTGTCATCGTCCTGTTCCCTGCCCTCATCAAGAGGTCCCCACTAAGGAATGAACCTTCTTTTTCGGACCATGGGCAGGTGTAATCGTTCCTGGCAGTTATGCGTATTTTACACACGATTTAACTTTGTTTGCACATGGTGTAACTTACTTTCAACAACGTATAACTTTAGAACAAAATTTTGTGGGTCCCACATATATTGTTAAAATCGAGATACAAGATAAAATCTGAACCGTATAATTTTTTTAGCCAAATTTTTGCCGTGAATTGTCCGGAAATGGTCCTTCTACCCCGTATCCTTCTTTTTCGCTTCCGGTTTCCTAGTCTCCTCTCCATACATTCTCTCTCTTCTTGTCAAGTCCTTGAGTTTTGCAGTGTGCGTTGTTGAGCTGTGAGTTCAATTTCCCCATCAAAGCCAAATTCTATTTTCATTCAAAACTAAAATTTTACCAGTGCCTTAAGCACGGTCTTTTTTCTATTTATCATGAATTTATATAAATATAAATAATTTAAATAAAAAAATTTAAAATAAATTCTATTTATTTATATTAACTTAAAAATTTGATAAATTTTAAATATTTAATTATTAACTAATTTTTTGAAAATATAAAATAAGTATGATATTATAGAAATGTCAATTTTGACCAATCGGATGAATTAATCTTTAATTCAATAATTTAATTAAGTTGCCAATCGATCTGAGTTTAAAAGAGCCAATGACTGTGTCACGTCAATTCACACCAAGTACTACAACTTGACACTTCAACAAAATATCTAACTATCAAGTTACGTGCCAGACTGTGAACCACCAGCCTTTGGGTTGGTGGCCACCACCAACCCATTAAGTCTTTGGTGGGGATCAATTGCCATATTATGTGGCTCTTTTAAAAGATTCAGACGGGTGCATAGTACACTCGTCTGATCTGGTGGTGGTTCTGTCCCTATTGACTCCCTGTAGGCTCATTTGAGCTTCCCCATAATTAGATTAGGATAGAGTAGGATATAAATAAAAATGATGATTAATAAAAAAAAAATTACATGCCGGGAGTGTGTAATTTCCCCCGCATGAATATGTAAATCCAAATTCATTTCCACGGTTCCACCTTGTTTTCTTCTGGGATAATCCGCAGGCCAAAGTTGTTGATAAGTTTACAATCTTGATTAGGCCCCTAATTACTCATGCAGTTGTGTGGGTAAATGTGTGAAAAATCTAACTGGTTGTATATGTATGTTAATTACAATTATTGCCCTTGTCCTATTTTGCCCATTTTACTTGTATTTATGGCTCCTTATTAGTAAATGCAAGTGTCATTGTAATAAGACTGTCAAGTCGAACGCACACGATAAATGAAAAAAACTAGTTATTTTGCTCTCTATTAGAAGAGAAAAAAAGGAAATTTATTTTCATTCCTATTTGTTTGACTATCCCTCAACTAAAGTGCAGACACCTCAGCTTCACTTTTTGCCTTAAGCTCATGTCTTCACCACCATAATTTTGTCTTTTGAGATTAATTGCTAACGTATTACCTGAGTCATTTGCGTTACGCCACAACCACAAAAAAGAAAAAAAAAGCATTAACTTATGGAAATTAGGAAATGATAGAAAAGCGACCATAGAATTTACTAACTTATATATGTTCAAAACATATCAAATAGTAAAATACAATAAATACTAAGTTTGTTGTTTGTTTAATCATTGTACATTTAATCGTTATCAAGCAACAAATACATTCACTAGATTATGTAATCATTGACATCTAATAAACTAAGCAACAACCTTAATTATTAACCAAATTGTTATTTACTATTTCCAACCCCTAATATCCTCCCTTCCACACTCCATCCATCTTATAGCAACTCAATTTCTTTCACCTTAAAAAAATGCAAAACATTTCAATCAGTTTCATTGGCTTCTAGAATAACCATAACCAATTAATTAATATAGTAGTAGCTTCCTTGTGCAAAAGTTGGACCGTCCATCCAACCATCCATGTCGGACTTCTGTCTTTCGTGGATGGACATTGGTAGGTGAGTCTTTCACTTCTTCACATTCACCCTCTAGGTAAGATAAGCTTTCATTTTAAGCTGTCACAAATCGTGATACACTGTTCCTAAGCTGTTTTTGAGGGTGTTTTTGAAAAATTTTGCTATAGCAGAGTTTTTAGATTATATTTTAGGATATTTTCAGAAAATATTTTGGAATATTTAATAATAGAAGAGTTTCTAAAATATATTTTGAAATATTTTTTAAAATTTTAAAAAAATTAAACTAACTTTTAGATTACCTTTTAGAGTACTTTTTAAAATTTTTATTGTATTTAAAAAATTAGTTTTCGAAAAACACTCCCATCCAAACAGACGAAGCTGAAAAACACTCCCATCCTAGCAGTTTGTTAGGATCTGTTTCCGGGTAATAATGCAAAGTTAATTTGACAACTCACAAAAAGTGATAACAAAGGCTAAAACAAGTACATTAGGTCTGGTTAGATTTGGATAAAACTCGATTCATTGATATTCCTAGCTACAAGTAGGACTGTCAATGGGGTTGGGCCAGCCCGAGTTCGGCTCGACAAAAAGCTCGATGAGCCCGACATTTTTGTGATTCGGTCTGAGTTTGAGCCTCAAAATTAAGCTCGAATTAAATATGAGCTGAGCTTGGGCCCTATTAGGTTCAAACCAGATATAGGCCGGGCCCTTTAATTATACATATATAATATTTATATTTTGATATTATGTATAATTATATATCCAAATATATTATTGTTAAATACTAAATATATATATATATATTACAAAATATAAAAATGCATCTAAAGGCTCTTTCATGAGGTTTCTTGAGAGACAATATTAGTTATGCATAATTGAATCTCTAACTTTTCTTATTAGTTGAATAAATTTTTGTGTTGACATAATATTGGTTGATTTCTTTTTTATCTACAAACACAAATCATCAAGCATGTTTGGATTCAAATCACAAGATTATAAAAAAAGTTTCAACTTTTAAAGATGTATTGGTTTATGATCGCATGTTTTATTACTATTTTTCATGTATTTTGAACGAATTAAATATAAATATTGTTGAAAAAGTTTTGGTTTATATACTTTTTAAGAACTATTATTTGTTCATGTTTAGTTTTAATATTATAGTCTTGTAAATGTTAAATTAGTTTTACAACTTAATAGTTATAGTAATTATATTAAAAAAATTAAGGAGTAATAAGTGAGTTTGGGCTAAACCCGATTAAGCCTCACAATGCGAATATTATGTGAGTTGAGTATGCATTTCACATTTATGAATCTGAAACTCATAACTCGAAACTCAAAAATATTTCAAATTAAATGAATTGAGTTTGAACTTATGAAAGTCCGTCTCATCAGGTTCGATTGACAGGCCTAGTTACAAGTACGTAAATGGGTGAAGAAGAAAAAGCCCACGTAGTCCACAAAGCTTGGCAGCATCATTTTTCAACACGTAATCATATGATGGCATCAATTTGTGAACCTCACGTGGAAACCGTACAATGCAAGATTCCTAGAATTTTTTTGGGGTTAAAAACCAAAAAGTTCCGTGATATATTTAATACATAGAAAAGTTTCCGTAATTTCAAAATAGATAAAACAACACCTTATATTTTAAACTAAATTATAAACTAACAGAATTCGTTAAACAAAATAGAATCCGATAAACTTAACGGAATTCGGTAAATTTAACGGTCGAGATCATCATTTTCGTTAAGTTTAATAAATTTTGTTAGTTTACAATTTAATTCAAAACGTGAGGTGTCATTCTGTATGTTTTGAAATTACAGGGACTTTTTTGTTTTTAACCAATTTTTTTGTGGCTCTGCATGGCTGCCTTATTTTAGCGTAGACAGCACAGGAGTACTGACTTATTCTTCTACTCCTCAAACAACCCATCACACTAAGAAAAACGGGAGCACAAATACTTCTGATCTGAGAGTCTGGTCTGCCTATAAATATGCAATTTGAGACACCATCACAAGCAACCTGCCTTTGAAAGTATTCTCTTCAAAAAAAAAAAAAAAAAAACTAAGCAACCTAGCCATTCGAATAGTTACCAGTTATATAATCCGAGCTAATATAGACTTTGACTGAACCGAAAAAGTTTAAAAATGGAAGTTGAAGGTCATGAATTAGATTATTCCAGTTCAATCCAAAATAATTTCCCTCATCGTCCTTTGGCAAATTTTCATCCCAATATCTGGGGAAATCAATTCCTCGTCTACTCCCCTGATTCCGATAAGGTACTGCTATAGTTTAGCCAGAGCTAAAACACAAAAAGCCTAGTCAAGGAAAGCAAACTTGGCGACTTATCAAATATACTATGCTTCTAAGAAATTTTCTTGCATGTTTTAAGCTGATTTTTTGTCCTCATCATTATTATAATTTTATTCTGCAGATAAGCAACTACGTACATGATTTAAAGAAACCTTAACTTCATCAATTATACATTTTTGTTTTCTGCAGGCAACATGGGCTTCTAAGAAATAGCAGCTTGAGCAGCTGAAGGAAGATGTCAGAACAGAAATTCGTGCAACTGCCAGTAATCCTGCACAACAGCTGCAATTGATTGATGCGATTCAACGACTAGGTGTAGAATATCATTTTCAAGAGGAGATCAATCATGCTTTACGCAAAATGCATGAGAAACATCAGAACTGGGAGAACATTGACCACATTTATACTGCTGCTCTCTATTTTCGTATTCTACGACAAGAAGGATTCAGAGTTTCATCAGGTAAGGGGTTAAAAGCTAAAAGATTTAAACCTTAAATCACAAGATCGTCAAATGTTGACTTTCTTTCCTCGTCTTTTATCACAAAACGCAAGAAAGAGAAACTTTTTTCTACTATGCAGACATATTCAAGAAATTCGTGGATGATGAAGGTTAATTTGGAGAAGGTTTGGTTAATGATGTGCCGGGCATTCTTGCACTTTATGAAGCAACTCATCTCAGATTGCATGGCGACGACATTTTAGATCATGCTTTGGCTTTTAGTAGTAATCATCTTCAGTCAATATCGAACAAGTTAAACAGTCCACTTGACGAGCTAGTAAGTCACGCACTAATGCAACCTAATTGGAGGGGTTTACCAAGATTGGAGGCAATGTTTTAAAAACCGGACCGTTAATTGAACCGGTGACGTGAAAGGGTTCAATGAATTTTAAAAAAAATAATTTATATAAATATTTATGCACAAAATAAGACATGTAATGGACTAATTTAATACATTATATGATGAAAAGTTTACTATTTTTGAATAACTTGATTTTTTTAAAATAAAAATTTTAAATTATAAGTTAAAACAAATAAATTTCATTTCAATTTCAATTATATCTACCAAAAAAATCTTAGATCTAACCCAAAAATATCATAATATTTTAAAATTATACAAAATTCATGTCTATGAGAATTTAGATTTTGTGAACTAAAATTTTAATTTACGTTTTGGGATTTAGAGATTGCAATTTAAAAAAGGAATTTTGGAATTCGAAAGAAGTCAAGAGAATTGAAAATAGAAATGCAAACTTGATAAGAAATAAAAAATGAGATAAAAGTGAGTGGTTGTGGCATTAAATAATTTGGGTTAAAGAAAATAATTCTTTTTTAACCTTTTTCAATTTAATGGACAAAAATAAAATTAAAAGATGGAAGAAAACATCAATAAATTAAAAATAAAGTGGTTTGATTAAAAAGAGAGTGACAAAAAAAAGAGGAGAGAGAGAGTGTGTGTGTGTGTTGAAGATTAAAAAGAAAGAGCCATGAGATGATTAGATTTTGTAAAAAAAATGAAAAAAAGAAATATGAGTTTTTGTTTTATATGCATAAGTTATCAAAACAAAACTAATAAGATGTGATGGTGCAATGGTTACTATATTGGTCTTTTATTACAAAGGTCTTGAGTTCGAATCTTGATAGCTGCATTTTACAAAACGTAAAAAAAAAAAAAAGGTGGAAAATCTCGAAAACCGGAAACCGCCGGTTCAATCCGGTCCAGCGGTTTTCACGGTTTAACCGGTTTTTGACCGGTTTTCTAACTTGGTCAACTATAGCATAGAACCGGACCGGAGCCATGGCCGGTTCGCGGTCCAACCGATCGAACCGGCCGGTCCGGTCCGGTTTTCAAAACACTGATTGGAGGCCAGAAATTACATATCCATATATGGAAAAGATCATTCACCTAATATAACTTTACTAAAGCTGGCTAAGTTGGATTTCAACATGCTACAATCTCTGCACAAGGAGGATCTACATGAACTATCCTTGTAAGTCTCTTCAAAATAATTGTTTCTCAAAAAAAATAAATGAGTAGTGAGACTCATTCTGTTCTGCAGATTACGTAAATCTGTAATCAATTAATTCCAGCAAGCATAATTCAGGTGGTGGATGTTAGACATAAGGAGCAGGATCTTTAGTATGATCTGTAAATTAAAATTAAGAAATAAATTCTAGATTAACATACCTTGAGATATTGAAGACATTTTGGAGAAGAATTTCACAGCCTTTTCAGCAAGCTTTCCAATCACCAAGGTTGTAAACTATAACCCTTTGCTGTCTAGTCTTCCCTCACCCGACTCTCTATTATGTTATTGTAGTGATGGGTAAAAATAACGAATGTCAGAATAGTGAGAGGGACCAGGAGCCCTAGAGTATTTATAGAGTCACAATCCCTCCCATCATAGAATTGTGATAGACTCTAATTACTTTAGATAAATGATACTTTATTATGATAAGATACAGCTTAATAATTACTGTAATTATCAGATAAAAATACCACATATAATACGTCCACATACAATGAATATGGGACTCCCTACTTCCTCCAGTCATCTATTCTCATTAGAATCTGTAATTAGTTATTCAAATTTATTCATATGATTATTTATCCTTCTAATTAACGGGGGTTATCTTGATAATATCATATGTGGTCATGTAGGCCACATAAATATTCTAACATTCTCCCACTTGGACAAATGACCACATAAACAATAACCGTACAGAATCAAATAAATAAAGTAGAGTGGCCACAATATTTATTTATGTTTATCCTACACTGTCATTAGAATGAATCATGGCGGTCATATATCAATTTGAATATATTTCCTTCCATGTATCACAATTCTAACAACTTAATGTAGATAAACCTAATGAGGAAGAAATGGACAACAACTTTGATATCCATTTAACAGTCCAAATATTAATCCTGTGTATAATTCTCATGATAATGTGCACAAATAACAGGATTTAATATTTTACGCTTATATGTCCAAACATCAATAATAGCAAAACCCCATCGCACTTATATGTTCGCAAAATCTTTCGGTACCAATATTTCATTAATGGGTATGCTCAAATGGACACCTTAAATTTGACATATTTTATAGAATAGTATAATACATAATTCACTTTAATGTGCTTAAATCCATTAAAGCACTTACCGTTCTATAAAGATACAATAGTGGAAAGTTTCAACAAAACATAATGGACTTAATTATCCACAAATAGTTAGAAATATAATAGCAACTATACAATAGGCTAATGAGTTCTTTATGAGTCATATGATCGTAACAACAACTTAGCCGGCATCCTTAAGTTGTAACATTAACGATAATAACTCAAATCTAACGAACTCAAGTAGTTGCAACTATTTCGAGATTAATATTCTAACTTTATGTCAATTTACTCGATTCAACTCCCACTTTTTCCTTATATATCTTAATAAAAGTGTCAAAGTTGAATGACCAATAGTACAAAATTGACAAAATATAGGCCAAACAACGAGTACCTAATTATAGTATTATAGCATCCATATAACTTGCAATTATTTCAAAATATAATAAACAATATTTCAATCTTAGATTCTTAAAAAAGACTCTTTAGTGAAGGCTAGATGAGATAGTTCAAAACATTCATTTTCTATCTCTATTAATACCAAATGCATAAAAGGTATTACATATATCCTTCACTTAATAGTTTTAGATAAGAATTGCTTATTATCCAAAATATTGAAGAAATTTTTATCTATATACAAACCAAATACACGTTATTCCCACTAATCTTAACGTATAATGATTTGCTAATATCATTCTTCTTAAAACATTATGAAGAATATATTAGGAAAAATAAATCATTAATGGGATATCAACTTGGTTTAGATAAAAATTATCTATCACTTGAAATCAATAGGCCATATTCTCTTTTAGACAAACATAAGGTAGACACATGTTGTAGAGATATATAAATCACATCTACTTTAACGTAGCTCCAAACATAATGAACTACAAGTGCCACAACCAATATCAGCAAAAACTCTAATTAACATTATAAGAGATTTACTGCATTTGTACTCTTTTAAGTTGAGCAAGTCACTAGCAAATATATCATTATATCATTTAACACCACCAATATATCTTAATAATCCTGATAGACCATACATTACCAGTAGTGTTAAACAACATCTTCCATTATAGCACTAAACTTAAATGTAGTTATGAAAATAGCTATATAACAATTAAGCCTAAAAACACACATAAACTCTTGAATTTATAAACATAGATATTAGAAACTTTACTAGAATTGAGAATTTCTTGACTCCCACTATTTCCTTAATAATTTGATTAGTGGTTTATAATAGAATATTCTTTATGTGATCTCTCAACTGTAGTCATGTAGAGGCAATTGCTAAAACTTTAAATTTCTCTTGAAAGCAATTAATCTCTATAACATTATGGTAACGTGCATGATTCACCTTACCTTTCAACTCCATTGTTTGAGTCAAATCACTTATTCTATTTTCTCAAAATCAAGTATTTCTAATATAAAACACTTTTGGAACATATGACAGTATAGTTTATGAAAATAATCATTTTTTTTCAATGCATATAGCTTCTTTAGGAATTGATTACACATTCACATATAAGCTTAAACATCTATATGTTTTAATTTCAGCTTCCTTAAATATTGATAATATATCCCCACGTAAGCTGAAATATCTATCCAACCCATGATATACATGAAATTCTTGACAATAATGGATGGACACACTAAAAACATATTCAATGATATTTTCAAGATTTCACTGTACAAGAGTAAAGAAAAATTCAAACTGCTATTTATGATGTCCAAAAATGTTCATTTCTTGATACAAACACATAACTCAAAATTTGTCAATTAAGGATTGTTCATTCTTTATCAATGCTATCTACCAAGAATTATGCACACAGGACATTATAATTTTATTTTCTACCTTTTATACGTTTATATCTTCATCTCTTGTACAACATTTAAAATACAAGAACAAAGGCATTAAGTTTGAATGGTTATAAAAAATAAGATAAATAAATATCTTTAACTACTTCAATTTGGCAGAAAATAATTGATAAATATCGTATTATGACTACTAAGATTGTAAACTCTTTTCGCCATCTATAACAATCTAACCAGTCAACTTTCTGTAATGTAGTCTAAACATTTGCAATGATAAAATTTAAAATCATTTAGTTTTTTATTTTATCTAAATACATTTATGGAGACAAAATTCAATCTCCTATGGCAAACTTAATAAGTTTACATGAATAACACACTTAATGCTAACATTGTGACATAAGCCAAATGGAGCTTGTTTGATTTCATACGTCATTTGAAAATCTAGAAATATAAGTTTATTATTTTAAAAATCCTATTGAATAATCAATATTAAAATTGTATTCAATAGTTATTAATTTAAAATGAGTGAATTCTAAATTGCAACAAAATATATTTTGAAAAGAACTTTCTATTATGGTTAAAAATACTCCACTTGTATATTCGTAAAGGCATCATTTTCTATAATAGATGCTTTACCTCAATCAAATATGTTCCATTTATCTTGTGAAACTAAACATACATTGACAATGTGAATTGTGTGAAGTAAGACAATTCATCTAGTGTCATTCATTTTAATAAAATGAGGGATTCCAATAAATTCTTTCAAAATAATTTTCAATTATAAAGACAAATCTTTCAATGTTTTCCTGACTGGATAAGGACAACATATATTTATTTTAAAATGTATTTGCATCCTTTATGAAAACATTATTGTCTCTATTTGCATTTCTGCTTTTATAAGATACAATATTAACCTTAAGTGTCTTGTCTCTCAAATTTAAACAACTCTCATTCTTTCACATACACATGGTTAAGTGTAAGTAATAATCATATTCTTTAATGTGTATTATAAAAGATTTTTGAGTAGTTCAAAACTTCAAAAAGAGAATTTAAAATGAAATGCTCAAGAAATTATCAAAAAACAATCAATCAGGGGATTTATCATAAATAAATCAGCAGCTAGCACCTTAAATTCAAGAATTAATTTACACTATTTCAAAGTCAAAACAAAAAGTGTTTCAAGGGTGTTTAGTCAAAATTATACTATAATTCCACAACGACCTTTATGGAAATTTTGACTTTAATCACTTTAAGGTAATAACCATTCATCTCAATGTGAATACAACATTTAATGAGCATATTAATAATATTAATTACTCTAACTACTTGTACCCAACCAATATATTAGCACATACACATTAAAGTGAGATTCACACTGACGTGTGCTAATTCAATTTTGCACCCAAAATCAAGAGAACAGAATAATGCGGCCAGCATAAGAGAATAATTACAAATTATTGGAATATAATGCAAGTTAAAAACAAGAATACTAGCATAAGGTGTAAGGATGCTATTTTGTCTTACTGTAAAATAGTAAATCTAACTCATATGCTAAAACAATAAATTAAAGAAATAGTCCTAGCCTTTAGGCATAGAAAATTTCCTAATTTAATGTCTAGCAAACCAACTTGTATAATAGATTTACTAAATAATTGAACATTAGGTGAGTAATCCAATGCATCATTGTATCTTACCTTTGGGTTGAATAACGACACGCCAGTGATTCACTCCATAAGTGAGAAACTATTATTCACTTATAAAATCAAAACAGAAATATTATATTAATTGGGCAATTTTACAAGTAAGTGACAATTATTCACTTGCATCAGAGAAGTTATACACCTTTGGGTAATATAACAACTACTTCATGAATATAGAAATATAATACCTTTGGGCAAATTATAATTCTATAACCATGATTTCACATGAATATAAATAACCATTTAATAAACTTTATCATAATTAGGTCACTTTAGTGACAGCTAATTAATCATCACTATCATGTTCATCTAGGTTATTTAACCTCAGGCTGCCCAAGAATATAACTATATTAGTTTAATAAATGGTAACTTGAATATCCATGAACCATTATTAAGAATACTTTTATCTTACATTGCCCAAATATGCATTTATATATGCTCTCTTAAAATTTGAGCTTTTCATGACATAATTGTAATTCTTAATATCAATACAAAACTTTCTTCCCAAAATATCAATTGTCGTTGACGGATACAATGAAGACAAGGAGTATATATGCACCAAATAATTTGGGTTTCAAAAATGGTTCACCATGGCATAAACTACTGCAACTATTAAAGTAGTAGACAATCAATTATGCAATCAACCATCATAATTCAGGCACCAATTCTAAGGTTATTGCAATAAGAGCATATTTATTAGCCATATATAATTGCTCATAAATGGTGTTTCAATTCAAGTACAATTTACGCATTCAAGTTGTATCGCAACACACAAAACCTTTTATGCTGTAGGAGTAATCAAGACGCACATAATATGGTTACCTTAAGAATCATGAGTAGAAGTTTTGGGCACTGTAATCGAGCATACATCTAGCTCTCCTTAATTTCTTGCGGTAACATACAGCTTAGATGTTATTAAGATAACAATTAAGCTTCTAATAATAATATTGAATACTTTCATAAGGATCAGATACGGTAGACTAAACAAAGTTAATTGATTCTCATAACCAAGGAAGCAAAACTTCTATTCAGACATTGTCAATTCCGCCATCCAAAGCCAACTAACAATACAAGTTGGTACATGTTCCAAACTGACTAGAATAGTCAATTAATTGGTTCGAAACTGATTGTTCATTCCATTGTTGTGTTCTTACAGATGTCCATTCAAAAGGTCCGATAATATGATTAATCAAGCCTTTGGTCCATGCAACTAGCCACTTGAAGTAATATGCATATGAGCAATTGCATAGTTGACATTGGGACAATCAATCATAGGATTCATAACAGGCATATACATATGGTTAAAGACATCTAACTATCACTCGACCATAACAATTAGCGGAAAACATATTCAATAGCACAGAAACGTCATGCAAATTTTATCAAAATTGAGTTCCTCCACTGCTTGAAATCCTTTTTATTTATTTATTTATTATTATTTTTTTTAACAGTCAAGGGCGCCATACGCATATGTGGTATAGAAATAATGAACCAGATTCTTGAACTCTAAGAATTTTGTCTTAAACTTTGTCGACAAAAACAAATCACAATTAAGTGTGACCTAATAATTTACAAATCATAAACTTCAACCTAAGCTCTAATACCAAATGTTAGACATAAGAAGTAGGATCTTTAGTATGATCTGTAAATTAAAATTAAGAAATAAATTCTAGATTAACATACCTTGAGATATTGAAGACATTTTGGAGAAGAATTTCACAGCTCTTTCAGCAAGCCTTCTAATCACCAAGGTTGTAAACTATAACCCTTTGCTGTCTAGTTTTCCCTCACCTAACTCTCTATTATGTTATTGTAGTGATGGGTAAAAATAACAAATGTCAGAGTGGTGAGAGGGACCAGGAGCCCTAGAGTATTTATAGAGTCGCAATCCCTTCCATCATAGAATTGTGATAGACTCTAATTACTTTAGATATATGATACTTTATTATGATAAGATACAGCTTAATAATCACTGTAATTATCAGATAAAAATACCACATATAAGACGTCCACATACAACGAATATGAGACTCCCTACTTCCTCCAGTCATCTATTCTCATTAGAATTATGTAATTAGTTATTCATATTTATTCATATGATTATTTATCCTTCTAATTAACGGGAGTTATCTTGATAATATCATATGTGGTCATGTAGGCCACATAAATATTCTAACAGTGGAAAGAAGTGGACTTTGAAAGAAAGCTTCCATTTGCTAGAGATCGAATTGTTGAGGGCTATTTCTGGATCGTGGGAGTGTATTTTGAGCCTGAATATGGTCTTGCTAGAAAGATTCTATCAAAAGTAATAGCAATGGAAACCGTAATTGCTGATGTCTATGATGCTTACGGGACTTACAAAGAACTTGAAATCTTCACAGAAGCAATCGAAAGGTTTGATTTGTTAAAAACATTAAACTTGACTTAGATATAATACTTTTCCAATGGAATTTGTTTTAATTGATGTCTAACAACTTTTGCAGATGGGATGTTGGCTGCATAAAACAACTCCCAGATTACAAGAAGATTTGTTACCAAACACTCTTAGATGTGTTTGTAGAAATTGAGCAAGTGATGGCCAAAAAAAGAAGATCATATCGATCATATTATGCGAAGGAAGCAATATGAACCTCCACAAATTATTGCTACATATCAAACTCCTTTTGTCACGGGGCAATAATTGTTTTATACATGGCTTCCTCTGTCAATGCTCATTCACTTTCTATTTTCTCAGTGAATTAATACCAATGCACCTTAAATTTACCATGGGTGCAATAATGTTGCACGTGAAATTACATGTGACCAGAAACCAGAGAGTGAGATATAAATTAATAAGAATTAATCTTCTATACACTGACAGTGTATATACTTTGCCATTAGATGCGTGATATATAATTTAAATTTGAATTTGAAACTCAAAGTTTGTGTATGTGTTGTATATCCAACCGTGATATATCCAGCCATGATAGTGCATACATGGTCAATATATATAAGATTTACTTAATTAATAATAGTGTTCCATATGAATTACACATAACTATATATATATAGAGAGAGAGAGATTGGGCAAGAGATCAACACAAAAAAATAGAAATAGAATATATTGTCCAAATTCAACAATCATGCAATAGTTTGTCTTTCTTGTAATTGAAATAGCTGATTTAGTTGCTTCTTACTAATTTGCAGATGAAGATGCTGGTTCGTGCCTACTTTGTTGAGGCTAAGTGGCTGCACCAAGGTTACATACCGACACTGGGGGAGTATATGAAAAATGGAGTACCAAGCTCAGGATACCCTACACTTACAATAATATCTTTCCTAGGCATGGGGGATATTGTCAAGAAGGAGGCTTTTGATTGGGCACTCAATGTTCCTGAGATCGTGAGAGCTGCATCAATTATTGCCAGACTAAGGGATGACATTGTTGGGTACAAGGTACAATCCAATCTAATTAATATCCATAAGATATAATAGTTTACGCATTAATGATAATTAATTGTTTACAATTTCTGAGCTATTTTACTCTAAAAGAAAAAGAATTGTTCAAATGATCCATCTGAATTTTTGTAATAACAACTTTATATTCATGTAAAAGATTTCTCATTTTTCAAATTACTTGTACAAATTCATTGTCTGTAGATTTTTCTTTTTTTTTTTTAAGCATTGTCTATAGAATTTTGCTTACACTGTTGAAATAATAATAAGGTACATTTGTATATATCTTGTAAAGGTTGGGATCAAACCAAACTCAGTTTAAAAGCACCTATAGATATATGGCTACGATGGACTCTATAGTCTTCAATTGGTAAGGAAGGATATAGAAGAATATGTTACAGGCCTATAGATACATGGAGACAATCAAAGTCTGATCCTAGAGCAGCCAGTCTCATCTTCACCTCCATCCAATTTTGGGGCCAGTTCCCTCTTAGTTGAGCTTGAATTTAGCAGATTTTGACCCATAATAACACAGTAGCAGCTGTGGCTCAACTCAGTAGGTAGCCATGAGATTTCTCAATCGACTAAAAATAAAAAGTAAAAATCTTTCTTACTAGGGTTGCAAGAAAACCACTAATTTTTTTGTTCTGCGATGTCAAACGTGAAAATGTAATTTGTGATACTTGCAGTTTGAACAGAAAAGGGAACACATTGCTTCAGCGGTGGAATGCTAAATGACGCAGCAAGGCATAACGGAGCAACAAGCATGCAATGAACTTTATGAACAAATTCAGGATGCATGGAAGATCTTGAACCAACAACTGCTTAAAACTAGTAGTTCTGCAGTAGCCGAATTTGTACCTAGCAAACCTATTCTCTTTCGAGTTATCAACTTGGCACGTGTGATTGATGTTTTCTATAAGCATAAAGACGAATACACACACGTGGGAGAAACCATGTGTGGTTACATTAATTCTCTGTTCATTGAGCCCATTCCCTTACAATAAGTAGTATACTAGGTGGTATCACCGCGCTGTGCGCGGTGGTATATATGTCCAGTTAATATTTAGTTAGTAATGTTGGCGAGAATGAAAATTAGTGCTATAAAGTGGAACTACATTATACAAGAATATTATCGAAAATTAGTAGTACTGGAAAGAGCCTGTAATTATACAGACGTTGTAAATATGAAAATCAAACAAGTTTAGTTTTCATCTTGAATGTTTAGGTTGTGGAAGTTGAGTTGATGAACGCCTAGAAGATCATTCAAAAAGTATGAAGTTATAATGTTGAACGCAGTTGCTTGAGACGGCTTGATTGTTGAAGAAGGAGGTTGAATGCAGCAAATAATTGTTCTTCCGTGTAATTTTGGTGCAACGAGGCTGACAATGTTAATATTCTATTTGATAGTCAAAGAAGAAAGAATAATGTTAATCGTTAGAATGAAAAAGGAGGGGTAAAAATTTTGTGTGTAAATAAAGGGAATAAATAATTACTTGTTGGTTTGCATGATAAAGTTCAGCTGTTGAATATCCGAGTAATTTTTCAGCTTCAATATCCATGGCGGTTGCATATGGCGAACCAGTTCGATCAGAAAGTGAAATTAAAATACATGCTCTGCAAAGGGAAAAGTGATAATACTTATAGAAAGATGAAATTGGTTCGATTATGAATTTGAGGAATTATGAATAACACAAGAGGTTGTAAAGAACCTGGGCAATAGTTGGACACCATGTTCACAATGCTGACAGAATGTTCGCATTGTATGTGTAGAATAATGAGGCTCTTGACAATTATGACATGTCACTCTATAGTCTATCTTAGTAGAACCTCTAATCTATGTTGTGCCAACTTCCTATTAAGCAGGCATAGGAAGGGTATAAAATATAATTATTGTTGAATTAAATGTGGACACAATAGCATTGAATAAAAGAGGAGTCTGGAGTCTCACAATTTGTTTTGTAGCAGCAATATCCATGATTTGATTATCACTGGGAGACGGAAGAAGGACATTGGGATTAGTATAACTTGCGTTGGTTAGCAGTTGTGTTGATTGGGTAGAATTAGCACAAAACCTGATTCATATATAGAAAAATTAGCTAGGGATTTCAATAGTAAAAGTAGATGATAGAAAATTGCAATTGGTACCAGTTATGCAGGTCTATTACCTCTTGAACGTATGAATTTATGAGGATCGTAGATGATGATTGAGTTGATAAGCTAAGATTTGGTGTTATGCAAAAAAATTGTTGTGTGAAATGAAATGTATAAAAATATTTACGAAAGAGAGAAATATGTTTGCTTACACTTTTTCGTTGTGACTTTGATCCTAATAGCAATAAGAACTGGAAAGGCTTCATGTTAGGAAGCAATAATAGGTCCATGTTCCTCTTCAATTTGATTGGAGAGAGTCAGAAGTAATGGACGGAGACTGTACAAGTATAAAAAAAAAGAATGGTAATTGTTATTCTATAGTATGGTTGAAAGGCATTATGAAAATGTGAATAAAAAAATGGATCGTAACCTCTGATCAGCAATTACATAATCTCCACTGATAGTTAGTTTTTCTCGAACACTTGTTTCTCTTTTAGGTAGGACATGCAGTACTTTTCCCATGATATCTATTGCAGTTATATATAAGAAATAATTTAAAATAATCGATAAAACAAGGTTTATCTTGTTCGGCAAAAAATTAATTAAATAAAAGGGAAGTGGTCTGTGTACTTATCAAATGATTTGTATTAGCAATTACGTCCAACATGGTAAAGGGGTGCAACTGGAAAGAAAGTGGAAGAGAAGGTCATTGCAGTTCCTGTATTCGCTGAATGCGTGTTTCTTTTGTGGCAACCCAACAGTATGGGTATTCTCCGGTGGGGATATCAGTAAGGGACGGACGCACAATTGCATTTGATATGTAGTATGTTTTAAAAGGTAAAAGCAGGCTGGCAAATTGTTGAAGATAGTCTGTAGGTACATGCATACTGACTCTAAGTCCCTGTATTTTAGCATTGTTAGCTGTTGCTAAAAGGTAAACAAAGAAGAAAAGAATAATTTGAAAAATCAAAATCGTGAAACCTGTGGATCAGCAAGTGCATATTGTTGATAATGAGTTTGAGGTCCACCGAAATGCATGACATGTGTTTTTTCAATAACTTGGACAATTGTTGTCCAATTTAGCAGATTTGGATCAATGGTTAAAAGCGGAACGATAGTATTTTCCATGAGGGGAAAACTTGCAATAAGATGAGGTTATTAACCTGAGCAGCTGCTAAATTTTGAATTATCTGAAGTTATGAATAATTAGGATTAGATTATAAGCAATTAGTGTATAGAAAAGTCAAGCAGCGTATAGAATTAGTAGGGAAAATATAAGGGAAAAACATGTATAGGGAATTTTTTTTGTTGAAGTTTGATTAGTGAATTCAGTAGAGAATTATCATTAAGATGTATATATTAAAATATCACAAATAAAATAACAATCAGATAAGTTGATAAGCATGCAGATTCTTTCGGTAAGGTGAAAAAAGAGATAGCAAAAGTAGAAGAAGAATAATTTGAAGGGAAAAAATCAACAGATATGGTATCAAAAAGTGCAAGAGGATAGGAAAATGAAAAATAAGGAAAAAGAGAGGAAAGAAGGTTACCTTAAGAGCAAGGGCACTGTGGTGGTAGGGAGAAAGTTGGAGCAGGAGATGTTGTCTGTGAAAATCAGCCTTAAACAGTTGGAAAGAGAAGAAATTTGTGAATTGGGTTCTAAAGTGATTGACAGAGATGCAGCGTGGTATAGGAGATAGATAAGATAGAGTGTGTGATGTCAGGCTTTACAAAGTGATTCATGTATTTACATGTGTCTATATTGGGAACGAATAAATAATAGACCACTGGTGTTTGAGAATCCCGTGAGCGTATACATGGGAAACCTGAAATTGTACAGTAGGGGGCTTTATGTAGATGTTTAAGCCTTCCCTGTTGAGGACTGGTAGCTGAATAGCGGGCCGGGTTTGGAACTGTTTTCATCACATTATCAGAAAGCTTACCAAAAGAGAGCAGCGATGACTGGTAATTTTGTTGGTAAAAATTCATTATTTACTTGACATTGGTTTTGGAATTAAGCTAATTCATAGTTAGTGTAAAAAATTTTTTTGTTTTGCGATTGTTTTTTTATTTTACTCTACAAAGAGTAAACTAAACTA